AGACATCTGCCTGCTTGTGCCTCATGAGTGCTGGGACTAAAGGTGTATGCCACCGAACCCCGAGTATCTCTCTTTTAACTCTTCTTATTTTTAAAATTCAAGTCCGGTGTATAATGTGCGCCTTTTAATCCAAGCACTCCTAGGAGGCAGGGAGACTCTTCTGAGCTGGAGGCCAGCCTAGTTTACAGGCCAGCTGTGACTACAGGGAGACCCTCTCTCAAAAGACCAAAAAACAACCAAAACCAAAACCAAACATTTATATATGACCTAGCTCTAACACTCCTGGCCATGTACCGGTGGATTCCATATCCTACCATAGGAACTACTTGCATAGGCATGTTCATTGCTGCTCTATTCATAATATCCAGGAAATGCAAACAGTCTAGATGTTCCTCAACCTAATAAAAATGTGATATATACATATATAATGGAATTTTATTCATCTGTAAAGAAAAATGAAATTTTGAAATTTACAAGTTAATGGATGAAGCTAGAAAAAAATAATGTGATAACTTGGCCTAACAAGATAAACACGTTTTCTGTCATGTAGATCTTAGGGTCAAACTTTAGATTTGTGTGTTTAACTTGGAGCACCTGTAGATGTCAAGTCAGGAGATTGGAAAAGGGACAGTGGACTTTAGGGATGAAGGGATTCATAATTTATAGGGTTTTTGTTTTCTTGAGATGTCTCACTCTGTAGCCCAGGCTGGCCTTGAAGTGGGAGCAGTCTTCCTGCCTCTCCTTCAGATGCTGAGATTACACGCACGTGCTCCCATACCTGCCTAGTTGTGCTGTTTTTTTAATGATCATCTAACCTACCCTTTTATAACTGATAGTTATTATGTTTTGATAAAATTCTGCAAAGCCTCGGGACCGCTGCCATTTTTACAATGATATTTTTAGTCAGCTTTTTATTTTTTATTTTATTTTTTTTATTTTATGTTGTATGTGTGTATTGCCTGCATGTAGGTAAGTGCACCTGTGTCGTGCAATGCCCGTATTGATCAGAAGAGGCTGTCAGATTCCCTGGAACTGGAGTTATGGACAGTTGTTTGTTGCCATGTGGGTGCTGGGATTCGAACCTGGGTCTTCTGCAAGAAAAACCAGTGTTCTTAATTGATGAGCCATCTCTTCAGCCCCTTTAGTCAGCTTTTTTTTAAAAAAATTTTTTTGGTCTTTTTGAGACCGGGTCTCCTTGTAGCCCCAGCTGACCTGGAACTTACTATGTAGACCAGGCTGGCCTCGAACTCACAGAGATCCACCTGCCTCTGCCTCCCAAGTGCTGGGATTAATAAAAAAATTTTTTTTAAATTATTTTATTATGTGTATGTATGTGTGCCACATGAAGGCCAGAAGAGGGTGTCAGGTCAACTGGAGCTGCAATTACAGGTGGTTGTGAACTGCGACTGCTGGGAGCTGAATTTGAGTTCTCTGAAAGAGTGGCAGGTGCTTTTAACGACTGAGCCATCTTTTCAGTATCCCCTCCCTTTTGAATAATTGAATTTTTATTTGTGTATGAGTGTGTTGCCTGTATATATGTGAATGAACCTGTGTCGTGCAGTGCCATGGAGGTCAGAAGAGGGTGTTGGATTCCCCTGGAACTGGAGTTAAGGATGGTTTGTAGCCGCCATGTGGGTGCTGGGAATTGAACCCGGGTTCTCTGCAAGAGCAGTCAGTGCTCTTAACCGCTGAGCCATCTCTCCAGCCCAAATAATTGAATTTTTAAATTTTTCTTCAATTTTTATAATGTTTCTGTTATTGTATGTATATGTATTTGTATGGATATGAATGTGTGTGGGCAGATTCATGCCATGGTGCCCTTATATACGTCAGAGGACTTAGAGGAGTCAGTTCTCATTCCACCATTAGGGGCCTGGATATTGTCAGGTTTGGTGGGAGGGGTCTTTTCACTGAGCAGGCCCATATAATTAACCTATAAAGTAACCCGTTTCTTACGGCATTTTCATACATTGTTTTATTTGTTCCACGCCCACCTGGTTCTCTTCCCCATCTCACTGCCCCCTCTTCCCCATCTCACTGCCCCCTCTTCTCCATCTCACTGCCCCCTCTTCCCCATCTCACTGCCCCCTCTTCTCCATCTCACTGCTCCCTCTTCCCCATCTCACTGCCTCTTCTCTCTGCCCCATCTTACCTTTTCTTGCTGTGTTTTTCCCCTATTGATATGATCATGTGACTTTGTGATTTAACTTGATATGTTGTATTACATTGATTTTTAATTTTTTTCTTTTGGGTTATGGGGATTGAACCAAGGCTCTTTTTAATTTTTTATTGAATTTTTGTGTATTTCATACATAAAATCATCTTTATACCCCCTTCTCCTTTGGCACACTCCCGTTAGCACCCCCACTGGAGTTCATATACTCTTGTCATTTGTATTAAAGGCCTATTATGTAAAGATAGTATTCTGAGATGTTGCTCAGTGCATTTTCATCCACCAGGGTTTAGTCAGCCTATCTAGAGTTTCTCCCTTCAAGAAGATCAGCTCTTTCTCACCCAGCAGCAGTCGGCTACCAATAATTCTTCAACTAAGATTGGGGCTTGCTGTTCATTTCCACAGTTCTGTACTGGGTTTTTGTCTGCCTAAGTTTGCATGGGTCTTGTGCATGTTGACACCATTGCTGTAGGTTTGTATAAGGGTCCCAGGTGCCTGTAGGACCTTTTCCGTACAGTCATGTACTTCCTCCTGGCTCTTAGAATCTTTCCCCATCCTCTTAATGGTCCCTGAGCCCTGGGTGGGTTGACCTTAATATAGGAATCCTGTCCTAAGGACCCACATTCTGTTGACTCTTATTCTCTGTGTTTTGGCCATTTTTGGCCTTTTGTGTTCTGGCCCTCTGTTGCATGAGAGAGCTTCATTGATGAGAATTGAAAGATGCATTAGCGATATGTGGTGACTGGAATACTTGTCTGCAAATTTAAGGATCCATATTTTCCACATAGTAAGAAATCACATTTGTCTAGGGATATGAGGGCCTGAACGAAGGCTTTTGTATGTGCTAAGCTTATGCTGTAGTACTGTCACCCACAGCATGTGGATTGTTTTTTTTTTTTTTCTTAACTATTTATTTTATGTGTATAAGTGTTTCGCCTGAGGCCAGAAGAGGGCGTTGGATCCCTCTGGAACTGGGGATCTGTCTGTAAGAACTGGAACTGTCTATAAGACAGTTGTTAGCTGCCGTGTAGGTACTGGGAACTGAACCCAGGTCCTCTGCAAGTGCTCTTAACTACTGAACCATTTCTCCAGCCCCCACCAGGGTGTGTTTTGAACTTTGAGACAAGGTCTTATTCTGTGCCCTGGGATGGACTGGAGCTCTTGGCATTCCTACTGCCTCAGACTCCTGAATTCTTAAGTCAAAATTGTGCACCACCATGCGTAGCTTGTGTGTTATTTTAAAAAATATTTGGCTGTACTTGGTTGCACAGGCTTTTAATCCCAGCACTCAGGAGGCAAAGGCAGGTGGATTTCTGAGATGAGGCCAGCCTGGACTATATAGTGAGTTCCAGGCCATCTGGGGCTATAGGGAGACACCCTGTCTCAACCCTCTACTCGCCAGAAAATACATTTGAAGATTTTGTTTGCTAGTGATTGTGTGCCTAACTTGTTTTTGTGGTAGAATATTGACCTGATAATTTAAATTATGAAGTGTGTGTTTTCCTGAAACATACTATACGAGATTGGTGTGTATTCTTAACTGCTTGGAAAAACTTACTAGTGAGGTCATCTGTGCTTTCTCTATCCTTTTTTTTCCTTCAGACATTTCCTGTCTTATTTAAGCAAGTCCCAGGCACAGTATCCTATGCAGGGGCAGAGGAAATTCTTTTTTATTTGTTTATGAGTGTATTGCCTGCATGTATGTAAGTGCACCCATGTCATGCAGTGCCCATGGAGGACAGAAGAGGCCATCGGATCCCCCGGAACTGGAGTTACAGATAGTCGTTAGCTGCCATGGGTGCTGGAATTCGAACCTGGGTCTTCTGCAAGAACAGCCAGTGTTCTTAACCGCTGAGCCATCTCTCTAGCCCCTATTTCTTGATTTTTATTATTAAGTATATATACTTGATTTTTTTTTTTTTCTGGAGCTGAGGACCGAACCCAGGGCCTTGCGCTTCCTAGGCAGGTGCTCTACCACTGAGCTAAATCCCCAACCCCAAATATTTATTTTTATGTGTATGCGTGTATTGCTTGCATGTATGTAAGTATACCCATGTTGCGCATGATTCTCCTGGAACTGGAGTTACAGTCAGTTGTTAGCCACCATGTGGGTGCTGGGAATCAAACCCCGGTCCTCTGCAAGAGCAGCCATTGCTCTAACTGCTGAGCCATCTCTCCAGACCCAATTTATATTACTATGTTACTGGTTTTTGTTTTATTGATACTTTGCAATCATAAATAATACCCTGAGCTATGTGGCAAGAGTATAGTTAGAGAGTAGAAAACAGATAGTCACTGGCCTCCAGCGGAGCTCAGAGAAAGAGATGTTCCCAGTGATGCAAATGAAGGCCAGGGAAGTGCTGAGAACAGTAAAAATTCAGAGCTGACCAACTCAGAACCTCAAATTGGAAACTTTTACCTTGCATGGCCTCTTTCCAGCTTGGGCTTGAGCCCTAGGAAGCAGCCTCAGGTAGGACCTGTCCTCTGAGCCCAGGGGCTTCAGCAGAGCTTGAGTCATGGCTCTTAGGTCAGGATTTGGCCAGCAGTGTGATACAGACGGTTACATATGGAAGTATCAGTAGATGAGAAACTGTAGATTCCTATTGAGAGGAGACAGAAAGTTCCAGTAGCCCAGGACATATTTAGTCTCAGAGATCAGTCCAGTATGAGTGTGAGCCGGTGGGTGGAGACAGACCTGGAGGTTGTGTGGGTGGAAAGTCAGGGAACACATTCAGTGTGGGTCCAGGTCCCGGATATTGCTATTTTGCTGGGTGATGGCTAATCTTGATTGGATCTGTAATCAATTAAGAGACGTGTCTTTGGGCAGGTCTGCCAGGTGATTTCAGGAAGGACTAACTGAGGAGAGAAGACTCTTCCCCCAGCGTGGGTGGTGCTTTCAGAAGTGGCCGGCATAGAAAGAAGACAAAGGCAGAAGCAGTGCTGCCTCCCTGCCCGCCTTCACTTCTTGAGGGTGAGTCCCTGTCCCATTGCTGCCGCAGCCGCTACCACCGCCGCTGCCACCACCGCCGTCCTTCAGCCGTCCTTCACTGACGTCGGAACTCAGCTTCTTGGGCCTCCAGTGTGGACTGAACATCAGAGGCTGTCGGTGAATCTTCCAGGCCTTCTCCACCCGATTGAGAGCTGAGTCTCCAGCCTTGTGGACTGAGCAACTACCAGGTCATCAGCCTCTCCAGCATGGAGACAGCCATTGTTGGACTATCTAGGCCGGACCAGGTAATGGCTTAATAAATAATAAATAATCTAATAAATTCCCTTGTAATATATGTTTATCCTGTCAGTTCATTTCTCTAGAAGACCACCTGTGTCCCGTTTTTCTTTTGAGTATACTTTAAGCATTTTAAAATCACCATTCTCTTAGTCTCTGCTTCTTAACCACTGTAAAAGGACATTTTCTGTTTTCTTCACCATTGAAGACATAAAATAGTGACTTGGGGCTAGAGAGATGGCTCAGCAGTTAAGAGCACTGACTGCTCTTACAGAGGACCTGGGTTCGATTCCTAGCACCCACATGGTGGCTACGAACCGTCCTTAACTCCAGTTCCAGGGGAATCCGAAGCCCTCTTCTGACCTCCATGGCACTGCACAACACGGGTGCACTCACATACATGCAGCCAACACACTCACACACATAAAATAAAAATAATAAAATTTTTAAAAATAGTGACTCAGTAATGTGCTTTAGTTAGTAACAATAAGTAATGTTATATATAGAGAGTCCTGCCAGAGGTGCCACATGTTGCCAGAGAAATTGAGGTCCCCTGTTGGATTTCTTAGTCACGTTAATAGAAGAATTTAAGAATGAACTCAAAAAGAAGCTTGAGGAAGATTTTGTTCGAGCTTTTAAGGGGGAAAAAAAAAAAAACCTCAGCAGGAAAGCTGTAAATCTTGGCATCTGTCTAGAGAGTAGACATGGAGAAGAGAAAGGAAAAGCCATGCCATTAAACTGCTTGCCCGTTTCTATCTCCTCCCCTAAAGAGATAAGCATAACTGCTATTTAAGGATTTGTGGCAATGATTTATCTGCTCACTGAGCTGAGTGGGGTTGTTTGGTGTGGCGGTTGTGGTACTCCTCCAGTGTGGGTGACTTCAAATGTTGGCTTACATTTTACAGCCAGGGTTCTTTGAAAGCAAAGTGAGGGAGGAGTAAGGGTAAGAGACAAGTAAAAGTGAAGTTGGAACTCTTTGAACAGGGGAAAGATTGCATCTTGCTGGGAGCAGGGATGATTTTATAGAAAAGCATAACATAAGACCTAGGCAGAGAACCAGAAGTCAGATACAAAGGCTATTTAAAAATATTTGAATTGTGGGGCGTGGTGGTGCACGCCTTTAGTCCCAGCACTCACTATGAGTGAGTCCCAGAACTCAGTATGTAGACCAGGCTGGCCTTGAACTCACAGAGATCTGCCTGCCTCTGCCTCCCGAGTGCTGGGATTAAAGGCGAGTGCCACCACACCTGGCTAAAAATGTTTTTTTATTATTTTTAGTATATGAGTGTATTGCCTGCATGTAACTGCATTTGTGTCATAAAATGCCTACAGAGGTCAGAAGAGGTTGTTGAATTCTCTGGAACTGGACAGACAGTTGTTAACTGCCATATGGGTGCTGGGAACTGAACTTGGGTCCTGCAAGAGCAGCCAGTACTCTTAACTGCTGAGCCATCTCGAGGGCCCTCCCCCCATTTAAATTTTTTTTTATTTGTGCGTATCTGTGTATGTCTGAGTGTGTATATACCATGTGTGTTCAGGTACCTGTGGAGGGCAGAAGAGGGTGTTGCATCTCCTGGAAATGGAGTTACAACCTGTTGTGATACGGGTGTGGGGAACTGGACCTGGGCCCTTTGGAGGGGAGCAGCAAGGGCTCTTAATGCTGAGCTATCTCTGTAGTCCCTGTTTGAATCTCCTGGTGTGCTCAGAAGTCATCTATTCATTGAGCTTTCTTGGGATTTTTTTCTTTGGTGTCCAAGGCTGACTTGAGTGATGAACCTTGAGTCCAAGGCTGGGGAAATGACTCAGCGGTTAAGGGCACTGACTGCTTTTCCAGAAGACCTGGGTTTGGTTCCCAGAATCTACATGACGGATAATAGCCATCTTTGACTTCAGTTCAAGGGAATTTGGAAGTGATTAGTAGTCTTCAGAAGGAAAATAAGACTCCAGAAAAGTGCCACAGTGTTCGTATGACTCGTTTATTCAGAGTGATTTGCTCTTACCACTTAGGTCTGTGCACTGTCTCACAGAAGTTACTCCTTCAGACCAGCAAAGCTGTGTCATGGATTAATGTGCAGAAACCACAGAATTATGTGAACATACTATCAAATGAAAACATTTGTAACCCTGCCATTTTCACTTGTTCTTTATACACAAATATGGGATGTTTTAGGATTTGGTGAACTTTGAGGATCTAGCTGTGAACTTCACCCAGGAAGAGTGGGATTTGCTGGATCCTTCTCAGAAGACTCTCTACGGAGATGTGATGCTGGAAACCTGCAGGAATCTCACTGCTGTAGGTAAGAATATCATCTCACCTTCACTTAGTAAATTAGGGAACATGTTTCTTGGTTATTGATGGTCTCTGTGATTATGTGTTGAATACATAAGGCATAACTGCAGTGCAATGAGGCTATACACTTAACTTTTCAGTAATTTCTAATTTAACAAAATTTCTGGGACTACATTTTAGGATACGAATGGGAAGAGGATGAGCCTATTGAAGACCATTGGGAAGATCCTGAAATAAATCTAAGGTAATTCGCATGTACAAGTGGAAGAAATATCCCTTGAAGAAATTTTAATGTACCATAAAAGTTTAAGAGAGGCTGTCAAAACAAATAAGCACAACTTTGCATTTATTCATCAGTAGAAACTTTTCACCAAAATATCCTTCCATGTAAGTTTCAGTTTTTGTGTAGCCTTTCATTTGGAACCAGTTCTAGGACTCTGTATTAGCGAATGGCAGTGCTTTGATCTGAGTTCTGTGAGAGCCATATTGTAGAGCATCAATCCATTGAGTTTCAGACTTTCTGCAGAAGGCATACACTTTGCTTGGTTTTGGTAGCAGGTTGTACAAGATGTTCTATTGAGCAAACATTAGTAAAACAAATATTGCTTATCAGTTTTTACATAGCTACATTTCACAGATACTTTATGATAGTGAAGAAGGTAGTTATGTTGAGCAACCTTATCCCACATAGCCGATCTCAATATGAACAGCAGTGTGTGTGGAGAAATTTTCATGTGCCATTCATCTTTTAATAGGCATGTCATATCTGACTCTGAATATGTACCAGAGGAGCAGGAGGAATATGAAGAAAATAAGCCATATGAAGACTCTAATTTTCTAACAAATATTGAAGGCTATGTGGACACTAACACTGTGAATGGACCTGCTGTATGTGAGGTATGTTTAAAATCCTTTGGACTGTATCACCTAACTTACAATGGACAACACAACTATGATTACAAGCAGTGTGGAGGAAGTCAAACTGTAGAAAAAGAGGAAGGTAATCAGTGTGATGAAGCTCTGAGTTCTTCCAGTTCACATCAAAAACATGAGAAAAGTCACACAAGAGAAAAGCCCTATGAGTGTCAACAGTGTGGGAAAGCCTTTAGATACCCCAGTGCCCTTCAGTTACATGAAAGAATTCATACCGGAGAAAAGCCCTTTGTGTGTAAAGATTGCGGTAAAGCCTTTAGAGGGCTCAGTGCCCTTCATTTACATGAAAGAATTCATACTGGAGAAAAACCCTATGAGTGTAAACAATGTAATAGAGCCTTTACATATCTTAGTGCCCTTCAATTACATGAAAGAATTCATACTGGAGAAAAACCCTGTGAATGCAAAGAATGTGGCAAAACCTTTAGAAATCGCAGGGCACTTACATTACATGAAAGAGTTCATACTGGAGAAAAACCCTTTGAATGTAAACAATGTGGTAAATTCTTTAGACGTGTCAGGACCCTTAAATTACATAAAAGAATTCATACTGGAGAAAAACCCTATGAATGTAAAGAATGTGGCAAAACTTTTAGATGGCTTACTTCTCTGCGATTACATGAAAAAATTCATACTGGAGAAAAACCCTACGAATGTCAACACTGTGGTAAAGCCTTCAGATGTCAGGCTTCCTATTATAGACATAAAATAATTCATGGCGGAGAAACATTGTATGACTGTAAACAGTGTGGTAAGTCCTTCATTTACCCCTCTTCACTTCAAGTGCATGAAAGAACGCACACTGGCGAAAAACCCTTTGAATGTAAACTATGTGGTAAAGCCTTTAGATGTCAGTCATCCCTACGATTACACGAAAGAACTCATACAGGAGAAAAACCCTATAAATGTAAACACTGTGATAAAGCCTTTTCAAGTTACAATTATCTTCGATTTCATGAAAGAAACCATACTGGAGAGAAACCCTATGAATGTAAAGATTGTGGTAAGACATTTACACATCGCTCCTATCTTCGATCACATGAAAGAAGACATACTGGGGAGAAGCCTTATCAGTGTGTGCAGTGTGGTAAATCCTTCAGCAGTCACAGTTCCTTTAAGAGACATCAGTCTGTTCATGCTGTGGAAAACCCCTATGAATGTCAAGACTATCTACTTCCTTTATCCCCGTTTCCTTCAGATGCATGAAAGAACTTACGCTGGCAACAACCCAATGAATGTGAACAGTGTAAAACTATTGCCAGTCACATAAAACACAAGAATTCAAGATGATGACAGATTTTTCTATGTAAACAACGTGTTAGAGCCTTCAGGGGTCATAGTTCCTTGCAAATGCATGAAGGAATTCTACTTGGCATAAATTCATATGATTGTTGTAAGCAATGTTGTAAGTCTGTCACCTGTTGCACTTCCTTTCAGAGAGATAAGGTAATTGATTCTGGGGAAATGCCCATGCCTGTGAAGGTAGAAAATATGGCTGATCTTTCGTTTATCCCTATTTGCCTTAAAAACATGAAAGAACTCATAGTGGTGAAAAAAACATGAATGTAAACAATAGAGTAAAGCCTTCAGGTGTCACAGGTCCCTTTAGTAACGAAAGAATTCATACTGGAGAAAAAACCCGATGTGAACGTAAGCAGTTTTTGAAAGCTTTTAGATGTTGTTGCTCCCTTAGGCTCCCTGAATAATCCCATACTGGAACCAATCCTGTGCATAGAGACAAAGCTGTGAGGCTTGCAGAGATCACAGTTCTTTCACAGACATACAATAATTGATGGTGTGGTAAGCCTTGTAAGTGTAAAGAATGTGGCAAGTTAATGGATGCAGAGAGATGGACAGATATTTTCTTCAGTAGAGTAGCTGCCCAAAAGTTGCCCATGTTCCTGTAAATAACTCCTATTAAACTCAGTAGTTCTCCAAGCTACACTGGGTGGAATCATTTTTTGTTCCTGTCACTGGTACCCTATCTGGGATGAATATACCTTTCTGTGTCTTCAGAAAAAGTTCACACTATAAGGACTTTTAAAGTTGGACTATGTTTTACATTAACACGAGACTTCAGGAACAAGGGGGGAAGCTACATCTTAAAGTGTTGTGTTTCTGTGTCAAGTTGACAGGGTCTGGAATTATGGTTAGTTTTAGTTGTTAGCTTGATAAAATCTGGAGATTTGTCTCAAATGACAAATGTCTGGATTAGACTTGGCGCCTGCCTGTGGGGCGTTTTCTTACTTGGGTTATGTGAGGTAGGAAGACCCATCCTGAATGCAGACAGGACCATTTTATAGCCAGGCCCTGAACCGAATGAAAAAGGAGGAGCTGAACACAGGCATTCTCTCCTGTCTGCTTCATGATGTGGAGACAGTGTGACTAGCTTTCTCAAGTTCCAGCCATTGTGACTTCCTCACAGTAATGGGGTGTAACTTGGAACTGTAAACTAAAATAAACCTTTTCTCCCCTAAATTGTTTTTGTCAGGGTATTTTATCATAGCAACAGAAATGAAACTAAGACAGTACGTGATCATGGTGCACAGCAGAGCCAGAGATGAATTTGGTAGGAGCACTTCCTTGCCTTGTCTCGGATGGGTGTGCTAAGACATTCCACAGAAGCTAAGATTTCTCAGGATGGAGCTTCCATGGTGGTAAACCCAACATGGCTGTCCTTTCCAGTGTGGCATCCCCGCTGTGCAACCTCCTTGTAACATGGCACACTCCATGATGAATGAGGTATGGGGGACATCTTACCCTCCACCATGTGACTGACAAGCCAGAATAGCTACAGCCCCTGAAAGTAGCGTATGTGGGACAGAATTGTTCAGTAGACTGTGGCATCTGATGCATGCCCCTTGTTCCAGGTAACGAGACATGTAACTGAGGCTGAACTGTCTGCGCATCATGAATTTACCCACATAACACAGGAATTACACAAGTAAAAGACATGCAAAAGCTCTTCTCTACTTTAGCCTTTGAATTGGCAGGGGAAATGGAGGGAAAAAAGGGAGAGAAAGATGGAAGAGATGACTTCCATTTCTTAAAGCCGAGGGTAACCTAAGGGCGAGAGATCACAAATCAAGTCTATGCTAAATTGCTGCTCCTGGGATCCAAAACCTGGAACCCATGGAAAGAATTGAAGAGCTAGGAAAGAGTGAGGTTAAAGTGGTAGACGCTTCCTCTCAGGTCTGACCTGGAATACAGAGGAAGTGAAGGTCCGATCAATACGGCATGTCTGATAGGTCACCACAGGAAACTGACAATCAGATATCCCGCCTTTGGGAGGTTTGAAGCTTGAGCAAATGTTTATGGAAGATAATCAATGACAGAGCAGTACAGCTGAATGAATCTAAGCTTTTCCTAGAGGTAAGCAGTTATTCCTCCAGGGTAAGGTGTATGCTCTCCTGCAAGAAAGTATACTGTGAATGTAATTGTTAGAGCCCATCCCAGGGACCTCTCAGCCGCCAAGGGCATCTAATGAAGAGGCAGCACTGTGCTGCAGCTTGGGCCCAGAGACTATCAGACCCAGGGAGCCTGTGGGGTTACAGCAGGTGAGAGCCTCTCTGAGCTGCTTCTTGACCCTACACCAATTTCAGAGTAAGAAGCAGCCCCTTCCTTCACCAAACCTGCTAGGGTGAGGGATATGTGACAGGCCTGTGGCAGCAGTCTGGATGAGGATACAGGATGGCTCATGAATGACTGGCAAATGTAGGACTGGCTAAGGTAGTAGTAGTACCTCCCATCTATGCCACCGCATAGATGGTCTGAAACTCCAGTGTGTAGCCCAGGATGACATTGAACCTGTGATCCACTTGCCTCCATATCCTAACAACTGGGATTACAGGAATGAACCACCACATTCAGTTTCATGTGGTTCTGGGGATAACGGGCTTTTTGCATACTAAGGCAAGCATTCTACCAATTTAGCTATGCCGCCAGCTCAACAGTGATCTTTTTAGGAAACAATTGGCAAAAATGATGCAGTCTTTTCTTACTGTCTTGTACTTTGTTAATGTTTTATTTATTGTCCCTTTAGTTTCAGACAGTTTGACAGGCTTGGCGTGGGCTGTGAGCCTTTGGTGAATCTGCCCACTCTCCCAAAAGGTTTGAAAAGGGTTAATTTCTTAGATGATATAATGCTAACTTTGGAGTGTTCCACAGATTTAGGAAAGCATTTGAATGAGCTTAAAGAGTGAAGATTGGAACACAGTTTACAGAGTGCAAGGTCCAGAGACACTTGTGAAGGTCTTGAGAAAATCCTCAACACCTGGGGTAGACAGACAGCTCAGTTGTTAGGATTACATAGTACTCTTGTAGAGCACCATAGGTCTATTCACAGCACCTGTGTTGAATGGCTGACAAGTGGTTATAACTCCAGATCCAAGGCTTTTAGTTCCTCTTCTGGCCTTTGCAGGCACCTTTACTTATGTGCACATAACCACTCACAAACATGCATGGTGTACATATAATTTTTCAAAAAGTCCTCAACCACCTGTACCTGTACATATTAAAACAGTGGTTGAAAAGTTTGAGGGCAGCCTGAGTGTATGATGCTCTCAGAAGATAGTTATTTTGGTGAAAATGCAGTGGGCTGCCTCTCTAGGAGTTGCTTGCCTTGGAGCCCCCCCCCCCCCCCCAGGTCCTGCAAACGGTACAGGCTATTGTTGCCATTGCTGTTAGTTGCTCCCCGGAATCAGATAGTAAGACTGATGACCGCATACTTGGTTGTTGGACATGGAGAAATCAAGCTGAGACTGAGCTGGAAGCGTCTCGCTGGCGAGCTTCCAGTGCCTGTCGGTTCTGTGCAGGATGTAGTGTAGAATTGTTCTCAACAGTGCTGCTCCGCTCTGGACCTCGCATGCTGGACTGCCAGATGTCAAATCTCTTTTGCAGTAGACAGCAGTTGCTGCTAAGACCAAGGTGCAGAGAGCAAGTGGCTGTTGCATACTGACCCCTAAGTAGGGCATCTCTCTCACCCCCTCTGAGGCTCAAGGCACAGTGTGGTAGAAGGGGTAGACATGATGTAAATGCTGGAGGAAGGGAGAGTACAACGTTCATTTTCTTGCAATCCCAGCACCTTCGATTGTCCCCAGGAGACCTGTGCAAAATTGAGCACATTCAAGTTTCATGGGGAGGGAGGGTCATGAAGCTCCCCCCCTTGACTTATAGGCTGTTAATAGTCACTTGGAAGGGTGGTTAGCCAGAGCTACACCCTTTTTTAAAGCTTCTCCATTTTGGTTGAGCTGTGACAATTCCCATAACTATAGTACTTTGGTTCCTAGATGTAAAGTATCTTATTTCTCTAGATTCTTACCTTCCCTGTTGGGTGTACCCCAAGTAATGACCATCCAGGAAAAATGTTTATAAATCACCTAACATCATTAACTGACCACTCACTGGTTCCCCTGAGCAGTGGTCAACTGTGGGCCAGGAAAGGAAAGTTCTCATCCTCTTTTTCTTGCCCCTCCTTCTGCTCTGCAGTGACTCCGGCTTGTGTGTAGGTGGCCTTCTCTGGTTCTTAGAGTGACTGACCCCCTTGCAGATTTCCCCAAACGAAAGCCTGCACTGTCCATCTTCCTTCGTGCTGAACTTTGATGTGATGTGTGGGCTATCCCATGGGGTTCTCTGCGCCTTCCTTTCCCCTGTTTCCCCTCCTTGGACCCCTTTTCCCTTGAGTGACTCTAGTGAGACCATCTCCATTGTGCTGGCTGCACCCACCACCAGCTGATTCAACCTTGGGTAAGTTTTGAGGGTTTTTTTCTCCTTTCTGTACCAAACTGTTGGTCTCCTGGAGGAGCAATGGAGACATCTCTTTCCTCCTTTACTGAGCAGACCTATCGGTCTGGGAATGTCTTTCTTTTGGTCTGTTTTCTGTTAGGAAAAAAAAAAAAAAAAAAAAATCTTCCTTTCTCACTCTGGCCACCATGGGCGCCACCATGGGCTGGAAGTCCTCTAACATCTTAGAGCCAGCCCCTTTTGGCAAGCCTCCTCAAAATCTTTCTACTTAAATGTGGCCTGGCTGCTGGACCCCTTGACGGGGGCTGCCACTGGACAGATGGCGACACATTGAGCTCCCATATTCAAAAGGACCTTGCGTTTGCTAGCCCTCCATGGCCATGGGCTATAATGTGAGGTTTCCAGCTTTGTCTCTGCTTCTACCCTTCTCTGCTCATCCTGCTCTGCATTTCAGGTTCTCCAGAAAAATCCTCCATTCTCTTACATCTAAACCACTTCCTAGTTTGGGGATAATGTTCTTTCTTTTGCTACAAAATATAAATATATATGCCTACTGTGTTTTTCCAAACTCATTATAAAGGAACTTGCTCCCTGACCAAACTTCTCGCCCTAATCAGATAACCACAGGGTCTCTTTCTTTGTATGTCTCCTCCCACTCTGATACAAGTGGTGACTCCTGGCTGCTACCCACCTCTGCTCTGAGAACGGCTGACAAATCTTCCTACCCACCCCCTTACCCCACTGTGGGCACTGTCACTCAAGTACCATTCTCCTCCAGGCTGGCACTAGCTAGCCCTGCCTCCAAGGATCTCCAAGTGAGAACTTCACCATGCCCCTACCATCAGTTTCTCAACCAGACTTCTAGATTAATGCTTGTACAAAATTCTCAGTCCAAAATGGTATACCTGTCTCCGCCTACTCACTTTAATTACTCCCTTACAACCTTTCCTTAGAGCCCACTCCCACCTGATTAATCTGAGTTACATTAAAAAGAAGTTAATCTGTGGACTTGGAAACAGCTTTTCTAGCCTGCGGGGTTACCTCTTTCTAACCTTACCCTTGCTTTACTCCCCAGCACCACAGTTTTCAGTCAGTTGGCAAACTATGAGGTACCCCCTCCCCCCTCCAAAGAAACCAAAAATACCTAGCTGTGCCTGCCTTCTACAGTGACCCCCCTTCTACAGTGGCCCATGCTGGCAACCCAACTATAAAAGCCTCACTGTACCCTTTATCCTTCTCAATGGTTGAATGTCATCAGGTTATTTTAATGTGCTACCATTTGTTTATATACTGCAGCTAAATATTACATATATGTAAAGTGTCTTTATGAGTCATAAGACCTGTGGCCCGATTTGTAGATGTGTGCATGTGTATGGATGCATGTGCTTGGGGCTCTATATGAGTGTATATATGTATATATAAACATTTAAAGGTGATTTAATTTTTTAAAAACTACATACACAGTTCTCCTTTTCAGTATATTTAATATGATCACCATGCTTTGCCTGTATTTATGAACGGTAAATATCTGGGATACAGCAAGCATACAATTTGTTAAGTTTTAATTTTAAATATAATTGGTTTTTAAATCATATAAACAAAATTAAAGTGTTAAAAATATATAAAATATATAGTTGATTAAAAGGAGCCAGATGTGGTGGTACATTTCTTTAATCTCAGGAGGCAGAGGGAGAGGCAGGTAGATCTCTGTGAGATCGAAGCCAGCCTGGTCTACATAGTGAGTTCCTGGCTAGCTGGAGCTATAGGAAGACTCTGTCTCAAAAAAAGAAAAGATTAAATGAAAATTTTTTACATAAAAGGACTTTTATATAAAAACTCATTCAGAATGTTTATAATTCCTAAGTTCAAAATTCTATTACATTCAAATAAAACTGATACCTGATTCTCTATTTACAACAACAAAGTTTTCTTACATATTGATCTACTTTTAGTAATGTTTAAAATCTTAATAATGTTTATGAAAACCAGCTTACGTGGATTTTATCTTATCCTTTTACTAAATCAGATTTAAAACCCGTGATTAGGAGTTGGAGACATGGTTCGGCGGTTAAGAGTCTTACTGACTGCCCTTGCAGAGGACCCAGATTCCATTTCCAGCACCCACATGGTGGCTAACAACTGTCATAACTCCAGTTCCAGGGAATCTGACTCCCTTTTCGACCTCCGTGGGCATTGCACCACACGGGTGCACTTAACATACATGTAGGCAATAGACTCATACACATAAAATAATAAAAAATAGTAAAATATTTAAAAAACCTGAATATTGTTTATATGTTTTCCCATTGGTTAAATTACACAGTGATTATAGATTTCATTTACAGGACAAAATCTTACATCTTATTTCTAAATTTGGCCCATTATACAAAATTTCATCATGGCTGTGATCTTAGTCCTCTAAATTACTAAGTAAACACTTGACACTAGTCAGTTGTGACTCTCTCGAGCCTAAAAGGAAAGGCCTATACTTTTATATTTCTTAAATCCTGCTGTATTTGCAAAATAATTCAAAAAATTGCCGTTATTCTTCAGTAATAAAGGTAATAAATATTTAAAATCTTAATTCTGATAAGACTACAGGTAAAGACAGTATTAGATCCTTGTGTTATGATTGTTTACCCAGGCCCCATACTTTAAACTGTCCTTGAGGTAACCTGTATTTATACTCTTATAGTCTAAATTAGAGGACCTGTCGCCTTCTTGCTTCTAAATATAATACTTCTGAGCTGGGCATGGTGGCTCTTGCCTTTAATCCCAGCACTTGGGAGGCACAGGCAGGAAGAGCTCTGTGAGTTCAAGGCCAGCCTGGGCTACATAGTTTCAGGACAGCTGGGGCTACAGAGAGACCCTGGCTCAAAAAGACCAAGGGGGAAAAAAAACCAAACCCATATATATCAGCAATTAAATGTGGAGAGATAAAATATTGCAGGCCCAGTCTGTTGGTCCTTTCTTATGTATTCATCTGCTTTTAGTACTGAGGACTCTTCTGGTGGCCCTTCCAGGCTTTGTCTTACTGTTTGGTTAGCTTCCCTTTACTGGGCTCTTTGCCCTGCTCCTGGGTTCTGGCCCCCTCCTCTCTGGGTGTCTGCTCTTATCAGAACTTCTTCCCTTGTCTCTGATAAGCCTCCGAGTTCTCTGGGAGCCCTGTTCACTGTTCACTATACTGACCTCTGTGTTCCCTCTTTTCCAGAAGACGTTTGTTTGCTCACCCCAGTTCTCTGCCTCCACTTTACAGCCAGCTCTCTCCTGTCTGCTACCTTCCTAAATTGGTAAACTTTCTCCTGAGCCAGGCCTACTGCTGTCTTACCCGTTTACTGCTCAGAGACTATCCTGAAACACCAGTCACAATGCTAGCTTAGGAACTTCCCATAATACAGAAGACTTCTCAGTGTTAAACTGCTTAGAACTGAAAAACCCTCCCCTAAAACAGCTACCTTACAGAACTGGAGGTGCCCACAACACACTGAAGACAGCTTACATATCCCCAGAGCTGACCTTGTTTCTTCTAAAGATAGAGATGGAATTTCTACCTTGGTGGTGGAATTGTGGTGTGTGTTCGTGTTCATGTTTGTGTCTATGTAATTATCATTCTGTGTTGGGCAGCGTGGAAAAGAAAATGTCCCAGAATAGCCAGGGGTGGTGGCGCACGTCTTTAATCCCAGCAGGAGGCAGAAGCAGGCGGATCTCAAAAAGACCAAAAAAAAAAATTTCCCAGAATAACTGAGTAACAACCCTGTGATCACTTTGATTTTCTTTTATTCATTTTTCTGTATGCTAAGACTATTTCAATTTTTTTGTGTCTTGGCATACCTTAAAATGATGTGCATATGTGTATGTATAGATAAAATGTTAAGTGTTTTGATGTTATGTTAAAGAACTCAACAAGTATGTACTTAGAAACTAAGGTACTCCTTTTGAGACCTATTGAAATGGTATCTTTGGGTCTATTAAGTGTTTTGTAAAATCTTAAATACTATTTGTTTATATAAAACAGCATTGATTTGGGTCATAAAAGGTTGTTAGGTTATGCAGTTTGACATGTTTGGATACAGAGATGATAATTTTCTAAAACAAGTTCATTTCATTTGTGTGATAGTCAGGGGTAATGGAAATGATAGGAAATAAAATTGCTTTATGCTGGTCAGGATTCCTCTGGTAATGAACATTGTAAATCCTTGTTGGACCAATTGCTATTTTTTTTCCAGAAATATTCTTAATATACAAATGTTAAATATGACTTTTTAAAATTAAATTGATAATACATGTAAAATAATAGATACATATGTTTGTCAAGTATCTCTTAAATTTCCTTTTCATGGTGGGAATTACAGGAGATACAATACCAGCAAACAGTAGCATTCAAAAATCTAGGTAAGCTTACTCTGTATATACTAGAGATGGCTATGTAATTCTTAAGATGATAGTAAGTAGTATCTTACATTTCTAAGATAAATATTTTAACTTAATAGCATTAAGAAATAAAAACTATTGACTACCTGTGTTCTCCTCTTGCAAAAAGTTTTTGCAAGGTTCTTATTTTATCCAGTTTAAATGAAAGTTGGCCATGGTGGCCTTGAATCTCAGCATTTGGGAAATGGACGGATGTCTGAGTCTAAGGCCAGCCTGGTCTCCATAGGGAGTTCCAGGCAAGCCCCGGCTCCAATAGTGAGACTCTGTCTCAAATGAACTAAAATAAAAAAGTTTAAAAAAAAATCTATCTTTGTATATACGTATATTGTTTATATGTGCTTATATTTTTGTATTTACGTGGTATCAAAATTGCTTATAAGCGAATCATATTAATTAAAACTGCCAAGTCAATTCTAATTACTTTTAATTCATAGTGTAGCTAAAGTTTAAAAAAAAGATAAGCAGTCTTACTCAGATGTTAATTGATTAATCCTCTCAGCTCTGAGTGGTCTACAAACATCCTTATGCTTGGACAGTAGACTGACTCGCAGAACATGATGCTTCTGGGGCAGTATAGTTCTCCCGTATGTACAGTTGCTCTCATCTGGATACAGTCACTAGCATCTAAGAAAATCCAGTCCTGCACTTTCAGCTTTTTATCATTTCCATTAAATGTATCAGGCTTTTAATGAAAAACTGAGTTCTAAGTCAGGTTTACTTAAAATTTGCCTCTGCCAAGCAAAGCAATACTGG